ACACACACACACACACACACACATACATGTAAACAGGGTGTAGTGGAATGAGGATCACAGGTTTAAAGCCAGCCTCAGCAATTTAGCAAGGTGTAAGAAACCTAGTGAGACACTGTCTCAAAAGAAAAATTTAAAAAGGGATGTGGATGTGGCTCATTGATTAAGTGCCCTTGGGTTCAGTCCCTGATGCCAAAAAACACACAAACATGTATTTGTGTTTGGAGGGGGGGTGGGCACTCACGCATAAAGTTCTTGAGCCACATAAGGAATGCTGAAAATATTTCCTAGGTGGTGATGTATGATACATGGTTTAAAAAATGCCTGTCCTAACCAGGAAGCTCTCTAATGTCAGGAAGCTGTGCTGTGTCTGTGCAGCACTAGGGTGCTCTCTGCCCAGCAGGAGGACTTGGATCTGAGACTGTCCACTCTGCTGCTCCCCTAGCCCAATCCTCAGGCTCCAGGTACCTGGTTTTGTAAGGCAGCCAGGCTCTGAACCTGCCACCAGCTCCCTCCTACTGTCCCCTTCACAGAGGGGGACCCTTGAGAAGGCACTCACCTCTRCACAGAGGCTTTGCACACTCCTGACCCCACTGGTACTGAGTTTCTGAGCTGCAGCTGTCTCCACTCCTGTGAAGAAGGAAGTGGTCCTCATGCAGGGGCTCAAGAAGAAGCCCAGGAATAACAGTGCTGTGCAGAGCTGAGGGTCTCCCTCTCCTTGTCTCTCTCCTCTTCCCAAGAGGACTGAGCCACTGAGCTCCCTCCTCTTAATTAGCCCAGGTTCAGGGACTCCCTAAGCAATCAGCCTGGGGAGAGCAGAAAACACTTTTAGTCATTTCTATTTTGACCAATTAAATTTTAGAAGTTTGGAAAGTTTTTGTGGAGTGGAAAACCCTGAAATCCTACCCATCAGGGACTTCTTCATCCAAGGCCACCTCCCCAAAGGCCTCAAGTGGAGCTTTCCAAAAGACTATGCTTTTCATCCCAGGCCACTCCCAGGATTCTCAGCTCCTCAGAACCCAAATCAGCTCCTTCCTTCCATAGGAGGCATCACAGCTGGCCTCTCATCCATGCACCAACTTCCCTGAGGCCCTGAATATTGGTTTTGGTCACAGCCTTAACTTCACCCCAAATCCCCCACGCAGCCATTCATTCTCTGCAGGCTGCTGCTCTTGGTACCCTGGACCCTACAGAGTGCTTGGCCCCTGAGTCAAGCTCCACTCCCCTCTGGAAGGGCTCAGGTTTTCACTCTTGGGCATGCGCACAGCTGTGTGCCTGCGCCCAAGGTTCTCCCAGCCACTTCTTTCTGTGGCAGCTTCTGATTACCAGCTGGGCCCCTTCAAGATGGGGAGGGCAGAGGGAAGCTTCTGCAGGCAGCTCTATTCACAACCCGGAAGAATCAACAAAATGTRACTCAGAAATCTGCTTGGTGCTGGAGAAGATGGAAAAGTGAGGGCTAGGACATATTTATATGGGTTTTGATTTTCCTTGTGAGTATACTTGTTAAATCTGAGAATGTCACTTGGTACATTAGGGTGTAAATCAGGAATAATCTTTCTTCCCAAATCCTTAAAATGCCCAAAATCAACCAGTTTGCTACCTAATTTTAGAGGAAATTTCTAAGCTTGGATCTCCATTGTYTTTTTAAAAGAATGCTCTGCAAATCTGTTTTGCAACCTTTTCTTTGTCATGTACTAACAAATCAAGATCCCTTTCCGTGTGAACCTGTATTGCCTCACTCTTTTTTCCCAGAATATTCCACTGTGTGCATGCTTTATTCTTCCTTAGCTAGACCTCTGTGGTCAATTTTGTCATTTCAATTTTTATTATGAAGTATGTTATAAATATTTCTCAGACATTAATAAATATGTGAATAATTGTTTATATTTGGACTCTCTTGCTGTAGATTTCTTGAAGATACATTACTTTTTTATGGTACCAAACTATGTTCTAAAGACTTTAGATTAATTTACACACTTTCCAAGACTGTATTAGAGAACTTTTGTTTGCCTGACCTAGGATGAACAGAGATATAATTAAAATTTAATTTTAATTTTAACCTG